ATAACTTATCTGATTATGAACCATAACTTGACAAGTTATGACCTATTAATTTCTATAACTAAAAGTTAACCTATATACTTCTTTAAGCTTTTCATATTGGCCTATTTTCTATTATTTCCGATGAATATTCACGCCAATACTAGTGTAGTATACCTGTAAGGAAGTTGGACCAAAATTAAACGAGCTCTTCTAATAGGATTGTGCCATGTGCACCGCAAAGAATTAAAAAGTGAGAGAAAAGGAAAAAAAAAATTAAGAGATAAAAGAAGAAGGGATCGTAAAAAGGCACATATTCTCCAACTTTTTAAAACCAAAGCATGTGGGTTTCTATTGGTTCCTAGAACCAAATCCCTCTCTCCTTTTAGGAAATTATTTTAAAAGTTAAAACCAATATCCCTCTGCTTTCCAAATTTTTGTTCTGACAATATTGCCCTGAGAAATTGAGCGTTAAATTATGGTAATTGATCTAATTTATTTAAGTTGCATTATTATATTAATCTCAGTTTAATTTAATATTACTTTGTAAAAGTTAATTGGTTGTGCGCCCTTAGGATTTTCCTTCTAACTAGGGGAGAACTTTTAATAGTAATTACATCAATATTTACTCATCAATAAATTATTATTTTAAGTATAAGATATTAATCATATATTTGTAATAAATTGAATATCTGATAAAAAAAGTTAATTGTCACATCATCCCGTTTTTATATTTGATATGTAACTATCATGAAAAAGTAATTATTGAAAACTCATCCATATATAATATAATATGTCTCATCATGTGTAGCCACATTCAGATCATATATATCTATCTATATATATATATTGTAGATGGAGCGAATGACAAGGAAATAATAAGCATACAAAAATCTCATAATTGGCTACTAGTAATATATCTTTGTGGGAGTTTGGTATATGTACATACTACATAGTTGAGTTGGGAATACGTCCAAGCCTTGAAATTAGACAAAAACAAAATCTTGTGACGCTTGTTTTGAGTTGCACAAACAATTAGAACAACCAGTCTTTGATCCCTTTCATTTTCAAAGAAGAAGACAACTAAAACAAACATACTCTTGGTGACAACACTTTGCTTTTCCCCAAACCCGTTCTATTCAAATGTCTACATATATGGGTTCTACCTTACACAAGTCCTATTATTAATTTATGTTATACTTTTATTACCTCTGTGTGAGAGAGAGAGAGATTTAAGTTAATACTTAGCCTTGGCTCAGTAGGACAGTTTTTTATATTATTAGTTTTTACATGAGAGAGAGAGAGAGAGAGAGAGAGAGAGAGAGAGAGAGAGAGAGAGAGAATAACAAAGATGTGGGGTTTGCTTAGGAATCTCATTGGCCTTGAAAGTTGAAGTGTACCCTTTGGGGGAGTGTTGGAGAAGGAGAGAATATTCTGGGGCCACCAGATTACAACAACTAAACTCCAAAATATTAAGACTAAACAAATTTAGAAAGCAAGAACATCATTAGATTATGATTAAGGGTTAGCAGGAAAAGTCAGCCCACAAGGAGACGACTGCTCGAACTTCCAAAAATTCACTGCCTTTGTCAGCTCGCTGTCTTTTAACACGATCCCTCATTTCATAGTAATCTCAGTCTCGTTAGTGAAACTATATAATTATTTAACAAAGCTCCCCAAAATTTCTCAGTTAATCTGTACATGATTTACATCATTATTATTTTAATAACATTTGGGATCCATCTGTTCTCTCCAAAGAAAATCCTTATCTTGACTAGTGTAGTGCTTCCTTTTTTTGTTATACACACACTGACACACACACACATTTATATATATATTTAAAAAAAAAAAAAAAAACTTCAAATTTTATAGAGGGTTATTATAAGTAGATTGTCCATATATATACCACGACCACCATAGCGGTCCTAACTTGAACTCTTCGAACATTAAATGCTATAATATTCTCCATTTCACTCTCTAGATAAAAGCGAAATTGAGCCCAAGTAAAATGAAGATTAAAGGAATATATATAGTTACCAGTATATTTCTAAATATTTAAGCTTACTGCTCCATAGCTGCCAAAACCTTATAGAGTAGAGTAAATTAATAATAACCTTAGACAAATAAGAAGAAGAAAGAAGAAGTTCAAACTTTAAACAACAAATGTCATATGCACGCATGACCCCATATATATACCACGACCACCACCGCGGTCCTAACTTGAACTCTTCGAACATTAATTGCTATAATATTCTCCATTTCACTCTCTAGATAAAAGCGAAATTGAGCCCAAGTAAAATGAAGATTAAAGGAATATATATAGTTACCAGTATATTTCTAAATATTTAAGCTTACTGCTCCATAGCTGCCAAAACCTTATAGAGTAGAGTAAATTAATAATAACCTTAGACAAATAAGAAGAAGAAAGAAGAAGTTCAAACTTTAAACAACAAATGTCATATGCACGCATGACCAAGTAATTTTGACGTGATTTGTACAAAAGTACCAGAAAATATACAAAATCCCTACCGTATTCCTTCCATTATAATGGTGGCTCATGAGGCCTAAGCCAACAATCTACATGAATTCAGTACCAAAGGTCTATAAGTACAAAACCTTAGGATACATTTATTGGATGTAATTATTATTGTTTACCATTCAAGCAAAGACCAACAATGCAAGCAATACCAACCTTTCAGCGCTCTTTTTCTTGCCTGAAAATATTTGAATGATCTATAACATCTTCATTACACAATAATACCAATATATACAAGAATGGTTCTTTAAAGTGATAATAACAGTAACAATAATTAAAATAAAAGCACTCCATCAAATAACAATAATAATAATAATGAACAGAATATAAAGTTCTAGGAAGAAAATAAAGAGAAAACAATAAATTAAGACCAAGTGGGTAACAAATCTAGTGAATATGAGGTGGCTTGGATGCTATTTGTCATTCTGTCATGGGGACGATTATTCCCTTTTATGTGACATTTCGTCGTTTCCTTTGCATTTTACCTTCTTTGACAGTTGGGCACGTGCATGGATACACGAGTATATTAGATTTGCAAGATTTACCTTGCCATGGGTTTAAACAACAACTTTCTTGGTTTATATAACAAACAAGCACAAAAAATGACAAATCAAAGAATCAAGATCATGTAATCCATATTGATCAGTTAAAATAGGGATCATTGCATCAGTTTTACATGTTTTAAACACTTCGTTAGTATTCTGTAAATGCCTTTCATTAATTCCATAAACCTGTGTGTGTGTGTTTTTTTTTTCCCTTGAAGAGAGAAGATAACTATCTGGTATATGCCGGTTAGAGCACTAGATACCAAATCCGAAAGACCTCTGTAGTACGAAAAAAACCTCCACATTGCGCGTTACTTGTAGAAATTTGAGTGGCACCGGTTCTATCCAATCAAACAAAGGAGGAAACTACAACACTTATATGATGTTAGGAGCTGTAGCCATTCAACCTTCAACCTTAATCTAGAACTAAAATTACTGAGAGAGATTCCCTTTTGGCTATGGATATTTCATTTTCATGATCAAGCATTAATATTTGTACTATGCTAGTCTTCCGTTTGATAAAACGACATGCCAAATTGCCAATATTCCCCTGATCAACTTCTTTAATTTCGTTAGTACCTTGTAAGTAAACTAATCGTTTGGTTTAGTTAATAACTTACTTTTAGGGTGATGATTGAAACCCTTCTAGCATATATCGTACCAAACTTCGCACTACGGAGGGCAAATCCAAGTGCTCCTTGAATTCCCTGATTTGTATGCAACCACAGTACTTGATTTATATATCTGCGTTTTTAACCTAAAAGGGCGATGAGATATTATTAACATAGCCTTGTGAAAATTAATATATATTCTTCATTTGATGGTATTATTTTTTTTTTTTTGTGGAGTTCAGAGTCCACGGATATTTTAGTTACCTAGTAATCAAAATGAAATTTTCTTTTAATTAACTCACTGGAAGATGTAGAAAAGCACTTTGTTGACGAGGAGAAAGGAAAAAAGAAATACGTTGTTTTCTTTCTTTCCAAGGGGGGGCAGTGATTTAGGATGTCAAAACCACTCGTAAATACAAAATTACAAATCTGTCCACTATTTCCTCTTTTTGGGCCAATAACGCGGTACGTGCGCTAGAAGTTTTCACAAATATCATATGTTAAGTATAAGAAAATTTTCATGTCATATAGAAATCGTAAAATATAGTATATGCCAGACCACAATTCTTTCACTATACTTGTGGAAAATATTGTTTAAGAACAAAGAAGAGAGGGAAAATTAATGATTTATAACCTTGTCTCATTAATTTTGTATCTTCAAGAAGATATTTTGATTAAAACAAAATTACCATTTGAAAACTTAACCAGAGTGCCATAAATTTTTTGAAATGTTAAAATAAGTTTGCGCATTGATCATAGTTATATTCAATTTCAATCCTACAAATTAGGTCTAAGGTAAAACCCAACAAGAAAGTCAGTCACCTAATTCATGCTTTTGAACTTGTCTATGAACATAGAGGATAACCTAGCTAGGCTTTCTCCCATAAAAAAATTTCCTAGGGTTCTTGAAAAGAAAGAAACCAATTTAATATAATCAAGAAAAAGAAACATATTTAAATGATATTGTAGTGTTGGAAGAAAGTTAGATTAGAAAAATATAATTAAATTAATATAGGAAAACAAAAAGATACAAATTATGGGATAATCATTCCAAATAGAAAAGGCATGGAATTAGCTTTCCCCGACCTCACCATGCGTGTCATATTGCACCTTTGCCTTCCAATCCCTCCTCTTTCCTCCCCCAATACTTTAACTTTTCACCGCCTCGGGGAGGGGGAAAGATCCAATTTTGTTTTTTTTTTTTTTTTTTTTTTTTTTTTTTGCATATACACACATGATCATATTTTCTTCGTTACGGTTGAAAACCATATATAAAAATACCCATCCTCTTGGGTTTTCTCTCCTAATTAATCACATCTCTAAGCAGTACTGTCCTTGTTGAGCTTTGTCTTATTCCTGTTTAATTTTCTGGGCTTGTAGTGTCTTATCGATCGAGTCAAACTTCTCATCATCAGCAGAAGAAAATTAGTACCTTTCGAAAGCTAGAAAAAGAACATCATGATCAATATGGCTGAAGAAGACGCAATTTCTTATATCGGCTTTGTCCAAAACCCTATTGAAGGAATATCTAACAACAACAACAACAACAACCCTCCTTTGAAGAAGAAGAGAAATCTCCCCGGCACTCCAGGCAATTACTTCTCTTACTCAAACTCTTATCAGTAACTATATATATATATATATATATTCAAAGTATGTAATTTATCTATGAATGTAAAACAGATCCTGAAGCTGAAGTTATAGCTTTGTCGCCGAAGACTCTGATGGCGACGAACAGATTTTTGTGTGAAGTCTGCGGGAAGGGATTTCAGAGAGATCAGAACCTGCAACTCCATAGAAGGGGACACAATCTTCCATGGAAGCTGAAGCAAAGAAGCAGCAAAGAGCCAAAGAAGAGGGTTTACGTTTGCCCTGAGAAGACGTGTGTTCATCACCACCCGTCGAGGGCTCTCGGAGACCTGACTGGCATAAAGAAGCATTTCTGCAGGAAACATGGAGAGAAGAAGTGGAAGTGCGACAAGTGCTCGAAGCGCTACGCGGTCCAGTCGGACTGGAAAGCGCACTCTAAGACCTGTGGAACTAGAGAGTACAAATGTGACTGCGGAACTCTATTTTCAAGGTAATTGTAAGTTGTTTTATAAAAGCTTGTGTGGGACTGCAAAAATTAGCAAGTTTGTACTCGTATGAAAAGTAAATAATCTTATTTGTGGGATGTGATATCTTCTTTTTCTGGATCTATTTTTTCCTTCTATGATGAGGGGAAAAATGGGTATATATTGATGAAGATGATCAAGAAATTAAAGGATTATTAGTTTAGCGTGATTTTAAGTCTTACCTTTTATGGTTAAAGTTGACATTCTTTGTGTTTGATTTTCTCACAAAGTTGAAGGGAATATTGATCATGCTCTAAAAAAGTATAAAATAAATATTGCTTCCTCAAGTTTAGATCCAAGTATATTCAATTGAAATAAATAACCTTCATCCCAAATAAATGGTCTTATAAATACTTCATACTTGTTTATTAATTCTCTCTTCTTGTTTTTTTTTTTTTCTTTGAGCTAATATTTTATGCTTCTCTTGTTATTCTGCTTTGAGAATTAATACAAATCTTGGGTATAAGCAGGCGAGACAGCTTCATAACTCATAGGGCCTTCTGCGATGCCTTGGCTGAAGAAACAGCCCGAGTAAAAGCGGCATCGGATCACATGAGCTACCCAATGGCAGCAGGAAACTTCAGTTACCATTTCACGGGAGCTTCAGTAGGGGCCAACATGACACAACATTTCCCCTCTGTTTTCAAGCCAATATCATCACCCAATGACGTCGATGCAACAATCGGCGGTGGCGCAACTACTCGCGGTCTATCCCTATGGATGGGCCAAGGAGTGTCCCAATTAGGCCAAGAAGCTGCAATGGCAAACAACAATGTTACTTCTCTCCAAGAGATTCATCAACTAGGGACGGTGAGTTCATCAGGACCAACAATATTCCGTACTACAACTGATCATCATCACCCTCTTAGTGTCTCGTGTTCTAATCCTCCTCCACCGTCCGATTACCATCATCACCTGAATTGGGTCCTCGGATCAAGTACTAATAAGCTCTCCTCAAACAGTAGTACTATTAGTACTACTTCTACTACTCATGATCAAGAGCTCACAACCACTTCTCTTCCCTTGAGAAATAATAATAATGTAAAGGAAGCAGCTTCGAGTAATAATCAGCTTGTTAGTGTTCCTTCATTGTACAGCACTCAACACACTTCTCATCATCAAACACCGCCTTCTTCGGCTAACATGTCCGCCACGGCTTTGCTCCAAAAGGCTGCCCAAATTGGCGCTACTTCCACGGACTCATCCTTTCTTGGGAGTTTTGGGTTAAAGTGCAATAACAACAACAGCACTCAAGTTCAAGAAGGGAGCAACAAGTCATGCGGTTTATATGGCTCAAACATAATTTCCACTACAGTGGAGAGCCAAGAAGGTGATCATCTACTGCAGATTTACCGGCCCGCCAAGCGCCGCCATGTGCAGGGCAGCGAAGAGGGCACCACCGGTGGAGGAGCTGGGCAAACGCGGGATTTTCTAGGCGTTGGCGTGCAAGCCATTTGCCATCCATCATCAATCAACGGATGGATTTGATCCTCCTCATCATCATCATGTAGTTATATGAAAGTACTAATTCCATTTTGATGATGATGATGATGATGATGGGTACTTGGGGTTCTGTTGTTTTTTCTTTTTGATATATTTTTCTTTCTCAATGGAAATTAAAAGGCAAAGTTGACAGAGAAAAAGAGAGAGAGATTTAAGAATTGGGGAACTTTGCAGGAATGAAAAGGTGGCAATTGAGTGCTTGATGGGGGCTAAAAGTTGGTGCATATTAAAACTATATAGAAAGAGCTAGCAGAATGGTGATGGAAATATCCATGCATATTCTGTTAAACCCTGAAAGCTGATCCCTTTAAGGAAAAAAAAATGGTGGCTTTAGTTTTTTGATAAAAAAAAAAAGGGGTGTGTAGAGACTACTAGTGGGAGCAACGCGATATCTCCCTTTTGGGCTCCATTATTGCATTCTTTCAAGGTACTAGTACTTGTCGACAGGGCTAAAATGAGCATTAATCCATACATGTGAGCCATAAAAAAAAAAGGGTAGATTGTTGCAGTACAAGTTTTAGGCCTAGTAATTAACCTATATGTAAAAAAACAAAAATAAAAATAAATAAAAATAAATCCTCTTTTTTTAATCAAATTTCTTACTATATTATTATAGATTTGTCTATGATCCCACCGATGAAACGGTCCCACCATTGTAATATGTAAAAATAAAAACATAATATAACATTTATTTAACGTAACACCGATGATGAAAATGTAAGACACTAAAATAATTTATTATTATTATACCTTTTAACATCCGTATGTTCAATAATTAAATTAAAGTGTAACAATGATTTGAGATGATTAAATTTCTTAATATCACGTCTTTCTAATATACGTGTTAAGTTAACTAAATGTTATGCTATGCTAAATATTATTCATGTTATATTAAATAATTGTCGATTTTTTTCTACACATGTTACGATGGTGGACTGTCTCATGACCGTAAACAAGATCTAATATTATATATGTACTGTAAATATAGTTGCACCTTAAAAACTATTTAGCTGCAAAGTGGATACAAGGAAGGAAGAAAAAGAGAGTAAAAAGCACTTAAGTATTTTTAGTATTTATAGTTTCTATGCATATGATAAGTTGTTGAATTCAAATGGTATCTAATAAGACAATAAAATGAGAACAGTAAATTTAGATTCCGAAATAATGGATGCATGGTTGTTTCATATATTAAGGCAAAGAACAATACTCCAGAAAAATCATAGCGCATTGTAAAACTTCAGTTTCATTTATTTTAGGTATTGTTGATGAATGAAATCTTTGTCACACAACTAATGTGTCGTTACATATTTATGTTAATTATAAAGGATCGAATAATACTGCTAGTACTTGATCATTTTTTATTGTATAGTTTTCTTAATTAAAGCGCGTCAAAGCATTAAATCAGCTAAAACAACAGAGGTTACAAATAACGGCTAAGCCTCAATACTCCTATAAAACTCAAACTATGAAACATGCACAGACAGACTACCTTATCTTCATTGTGAAAAATTAATATGATAGTATAAACCACCAACAGCAAACCAAGACATCTAATCTTTTAATGAAGCAAAAAATTAACATCTTTATGTTGTCAAAGTAAAAGAATTTTAAGTCGCTATTGGATTGAACACGTCCACACACACACACACACACACACAAAAAAGGAAAAATACGTCTCAGCAATTTGCTTGTTCCAAAAGGCATGCTTTACCAATAACTAACGGCTTTAGTCATTACATGGAAAGGGAAAAGAAAAAAAGAGAAACGTAAAAGGAGAAAAAGAAAAACCATATTCTTAGCTTGTAGTACTACCGTAACTTTAATTTTTTTTTTTTTTCTTTTTCCCTGCCATGATTGAACAAGGAAATCAGTAGACTTAAGGAATTACAATCCAGGCCACAAAATATTTCAGAGAAGTATATTATAGTTAAGGTCTCAAGCTCCAAATATTAGCTTTTGTAACAATTGAAGATCATACGGTCCATGTCCACGAAAGAAAGAATGTCGAGGCAAAGAAATGACACGCAATCTTACCCATTATACGTGCTATCCTCGTGTTATGTTTGCCTTTCGGAACTAGTGCCAAAAGCATTATTGTGGTATGGGACCTCATTCACACATGCATAATAAAGCCACAAGTAGAAATAAAAGGAGAGATAGTCAATTTATTATCTGACTTGTTTGATTTTAAGAATTATAAGCCTTAATTCTATATTAGTAATAAAAACGCAGAAAAGAAATCAAGGAAAAAAAAAAAACAAACACGCATATTTATGAAAACTCAATTTAATATGAGAGTATACGTTCTTTTTCTGCCATTGTAGAAATTTAGTATGATAAAGAATAAATTTTTACAAGGGAAAATCGCACCTCTTAACTCTCTATGTTTTCTTTAACCTATTAAATTAACTCAAAATCAACGCCCCTCTTTTATTGAATAAAAAACTATGCTACAGAATTTATAAGTTTAAAATCCCCCAAGCTACTAAATCCTTACGTAAGACAATAATCATTTGAGTATAATTAGGCTGCACAACTTAACACATATCTAATATCGTAAATAGCAATTATCCCTATTAATTTGTCAAGTGAATGTGTTCAGGAGATTTAACTGTTTTAAGTACATGTGTTCTAGTAGTCAGATTTTACCAAAGTGTGACAAGCTAGACTTTTCTCTGTGACTGACCTGTGATTTTTGTTTAGATGCTGGAGATAGAAAAAGACAAAAGCAATTATTTTGTTGGGGTCCAAACTTGCGATCTTATTTGATTTCGACAAATATGTTTTAAGTTCCTTTTTCTCCCCTTTTTTTGAACAAACAATCCTGTAGTTATAAATAGGTGGGATCACTGAAAAAGTGTTTTCTGATAAAAACACGGTAGCTTCAAATCAACTACCATTCCAAAAATGAACGACAACAACATGTCCAACCAAATCTTCTTTTAAAAAAAAAAAAAAAAAAAAAAAAAAAAAAAAAAAAAAACTAAATCATTTTACAGCGAGTCTAGCAAAAGAGGATCCAAAGAAAAAAAAAATCTTGAGCGACTTTAGGTAAAAGACTATATATATATATGTATATATATATTGGTGATCGATGAAAACTCGTAAAACAGGATGAATTCATCCAATACCTAAGTACCTACAAAAATTATAGACAAATCAAAAGGCATTGAGCATTATGTTCAAAATGCAAAGGTGACAATTAGGATTATCAATTGACCAAAAAAGATTATTTAAACCATAGGATATAATAGCTCATTTAGTTAATAGCTAGGAATTACTCTTGAATTAGGTTTATCTCTTGGCTTGTCAATCTCGGAGGCTTGCCTTATATATTGTAGTTTTTTTCACCCATAGATCTCATAGTTTCCCTAATCGTCACCTTCCTTTTCGTGATAAATCATCTATTCCGGAATCTTCTCCGCCTAACTGATCTCGTTAGTATATTCATCATCAACAGAAATTTTTGTAAATTAGAAACAAAAAATAAAATAAAATTCATAAGTAATTCAAAACAAACCAAATTCTAATCAATCAAATATATATTGAAACAATATTAGGATATTTTTAATACTAAATACATTTAGAAATAAATTATATATATTATTTTTATGAGTTTCTTGAAACATGTGTATTGTGTGAGGAAGTGCTTCTTTAGTCCGTACCTTGACGCCAATTTGGATTAAGTTGTCTTTATCCCTACCCCAAACACCATTAGCAATTTCCTCATTCATGTTCGGCCTAAGGTCCACGTAGGAGAAATCTTATTTCTAACAGCATCTCAAATGCAGAGTTAAAATTTCACATTTGAATAAGAAATTATTCTTCTATATAAGACTAAACTTAATGTAAAATTTAACATGTTGTATTTGGTGTTAAATTTGACAAGAAGTATAGAATATACTAAATTTTGTATTTAGTTGCTATTGGTGGATATGTTGATTTTTTGACTTCAAAATTAGAACGTTGTCATTTTTCTAGATTTTACCATGACTTGTAAAATTTTGCTTGGATACGAGAAGAACCAAATATGGGCCTGGAGTGAGAATGACTCAAGGAAACTGGACCAAACGTGATCAAAGCCCATAATGAAAAACCACCAATCTCCAAAGCCCAAAGTAGAGACATCACCAACCGTTAAACCTCACCGTACACGGGAACAGAGAGGACGATCAGAGAGAGAGAGAGAGAGAATTGCGTCAATGAAGTTCACAGACTCGCCGGTAGTAGAGCTGCCCGTGCGCGGCGCCGTTCTCTCTCTGCAGCAAGACAACGGCTCCTTCCACGTCGGAACCTCGGTCTGGCCCTGCTCTCTCGTCCTCGTCAAGTTCGCCGAGCGCTGGGCCCCATCTCCAGGCGGGCCCACCACCAACAATCCCTACGCCCAAATCCTCAACTTCGAATTGAAGCGGGCCGTGGAGCTCGGTGCCGGCTGCGGGGCCGCCGGAATGGGCCTCTACCTTCTTGGCCTGACGGACGTCATCCTCACCGACATATCCCCGGTCATGCCCGCACTGAAGCACAACCTAAAGCGCAACAAGCCCGTCCTCTCCAAAGCCCTAAAACACTCCGTACTCTACTGGAACAACTCCAACCAGATCGCCGCCCTCAGGCCCCCGTACGACGTCGTTTTAGCCGCCGACGTCGTCTACATCGAGGAATCGGTGGGCCCGCTCGTCCACGCCATGGACGCCCTCCTCGCCGACGACGGCATCGTTTTGCTGGGATACCAGGTCAGGTCTCCGGAGGCCCACAAGCTTTTCTGGGAGATTTGCGAGACCGTCTTCGAGATCGAGAAGGTTCCGCACCAGGATTTGCATCCCGATTATGCCTACGAAGAGACCGACGTCTATGTCTTGCGGAAGAAGAAGAAGAAAAAGGAGAATGACTAACCCCCTCCTGAGGCCAAGGCACGTTTTGGTAAGTGTTTTGGAAGTAACTTGTGCAATAAGTTTTAAGGTTTTTGTTTGTTGTAACTGATATATTGTCACAATTAGATGCATTTCGGTATTGGTTTTCCCAACCTGGGAAACTTTTTAGTTGCTTGTTTGTAAAGTTTGGGACTTTACCATGAATAATCAAGATGGTGAGATCATAAAGACCAATGATATTGGTTGGGATATCAGCTTATATGTGCTATGTTTTGTTGTAAATTTGCATACTCATAATGGTGAGATTACATGAATTTTGTTGCTCAGTACTGTACTGATATGAAAATTTGCAAATTTTGGGATTTGCGCATATTTTACGTTATTAGTGGTGTTCCTCAGATGTACATATTCAGCTAGTGAATCTAGTTTTGTTGGTCAATTTTGGAAAGTAGAACACCTTTTTTCCTTCTTGCTAGTTTCGTCTATTAGAAATTTGTTCTTCCAATGCAGTTCCTTTTTTCTTTTTTTTTGGAGTTTATCACATAAGATTAAAAAATTATTTTTTTCAATCATTTTCAGCTTTTAAATTTACATTAGAAACGGTCTATATCGGAAACTGGACATTTTTTAATCTCAATTTTGAGTAGATTCAACCTATCAGAGACAGGGTTTTTTTTTTTTTTTTTTTTTGTCAGAGAAGACGCATCTGGTCAATTTGGTACATCAGAAGTCTCAAATTTTTTTCCGCTTGATGTGAAATGATATGACAAATACAGTACACAACTTGCCACTCAACTTGGGCAACAAAGACTTTTTGAATAGTTTGCCATATTTGTCTCTACTCTGCGTCCAAGGACCCCAAGAAAAGAGGGTGATTTTGGTGGGGCCTAGTTTGATTGCAGGAACAACCTGGAACAATGGATGTCTTTTGGATCTTGATAAGTTCAAATTTATAGGACCATTGACCATTGCTCCCAAAAATGCATGCATTTCTCTGATATTCGATGGGTGTGTAGTTGTTGAGCTGGAAACTCAGTATTTGTTCGGAAGATGCATGCACTCAAGTTTGAACTTTGTAGCTTTGCGGATGCAGTCTCTTTTGATTTCAAATTGGTGCTCAAGTTGCCCATGTCAAAGTTTGTTCTGTTGCTAGATGTTACATTTTTATGTTGAATTTCAGAGCATATGAATTAAAAGAGCTAAATCCGGTAGAGAGAAACACAGTTGTAATGCAAAAGAAAGAGATTATGAATGACATAAACCTTTTTGTGTTTAAAAACTTGTGATTTTTTTTTTTTTTTTGCTCATCGTTTAAGAACTTGTGATTGCATTCGGACAAATTGATTATCAGAAAACAACATTTGTGCAATTCTGGTTGTGGCAACTTTATTTTTATGGGCAACACTCACTTTTCTGTCTCTCTCTTCCATTACTGTCTGATTGAAATCCTATCTCGCTTTCTCATATGTGTTTCAACCTTTTGATCTCTATATATCAATCACAATGTCGGAACACGTTTCTAGTCCAGACTACAGAATAATTTTCCCTCTTTAGGGAGAGGAATTTTTTTTGAATCACCAACCGGGATAAATTGATCAATCTTATTGGCTATTGCTCTGAAAAAACTTCTACACAAGCGCTGAACAAACAACTTTCTGTGAGCCAAAAAACTGATTCAAATAAATAAAACCTTTCTTAAACAACTCAACAAAACGGCTTATATTACAGTGGGGGTCAGCATTCAGTATTCATCCTTGATCAAGGCCAAGGAGACAAGCAAGTATATAGCTCTTCCACCTGCAACTGAGCAACATTATTCTCTTCACCATAGCTATAGTTATGAAGTGAGCTCGAACTAGCATGATCATCCACGGCTGACACTGCAACCGAAGGAAGATCAGAATTTGCAGCCGAATTCACGGCACCTGATGATGCAAGAAGCTGCATCTGTTGAGCCTTGTTCAACTCATGTTTAAGCATTACAACTTCTTTCTCGAGCCTTCTCTTCTCAGCCAAGACGTCCTCAAGCCTCAGCTGGATTGTTCTGTAATCGAACTCTATGGTTTGCGTCTTCTGCCGGGCTCGCCTGTTCTGGTACCAAATGGCCAACTGTCTCGGGGACATGCCGAGACTTGTGGCGAGCTGAAACTTGCGCTCAGCTTGGAGCTTGTGGTCAGTGGTGAAGCTCGTCTCCAAGAGCCTGACCTGAGCTTGGGTTAGCCTTCTACTGCGTTGCTGTAGCTTTGAGGAGTCTTGGGTTTGTATGTAGTGGAAATCCATCTTTTGGATGGACTTGCGGGTGATCAGTTAATAAACTTTTGGTCTGGAGTTTCATTCTAGTGTTGTATTGCCTTTATATAGATCTCTCCCAGCAAGGAAGAAGCATATCAGAGAGAGAGAGAGGGAGAGAGATGGGGGTACGGACAACTTGCCAACTATATGTCCCACCAATAAATAAATGGTATTGTCTTCAAAAATGTTGAATACTGGAAGCCGTCATAATTCGGGAAATTACATTACTGCCAGTGTCGCAAAAACGATTTACCGGGAATTGGTTTATTAAAAATTAGTCTAGATTGTTCAAATTTAAGTTGTTTTTGTTAGAATTCCAACAACAAAAAAGTTTCAACAATTATTATTTTATTATTTTATTATTTTTATTTTTATTTTTTATCATCGTTCGATATCAAAAAAAAAAAAAAAAAAAAAAAAGCGTTAATGGTAAGATCAGTTTCATAGGGGATTCCATAATTAGATTATTCTTAAAACTTGTTTCGGTGATTTCTAATTGATCGTCTCAAAAGGCACATGTAGTTTAGTATATCCAAGTTCGAACCATAAGATTATATGAACTCACTATAGGATATATATATACAAAAAAGATTATCCTACAATGAAGCATGAGAATCTGATGTAATACAATTATTTTTACCTATTGTTTATCATTCCAATATTATGATTAATATGACACGAAATATAGTGTGTGTGTGTATATACATGCCCCGCTAATGACAAGACCATGCATTTGACGGAAGATTAAATTTCAAGAGAGGGGAGAGGGGCGGCGGATTGATTCACGTGGGCAGATGGTCTCACATATTGTAGCAGCTGCGAAAAGGGTCAAATTAGATGGGCAGCTGATGCAGGGCCTTGAACGACAAGTCGTTCGTGTGTCCAGCTATCCACTCTAGACGCGTTGTCGTTTGCCTTTCTTTAGTTGTTTACTTGTCGTATTGCGTTTTGTAATAAGTATGCAGACTTTTCTTGTCGTTTGGGAGCTTCTGAGAAGCTTTCCTCTTTATTATACTGTTTGTTTCGAGAAGAGACCTTTAGACTGAGTTTTGCGTTGAATTCTCTTGCTTGTATTTTCCTCTTCGCCATTGAGGTTAATATCAATTGAGTGAGAATCATTGAATTTCTCATCTCTGTGCTTTGAATTAATTCTTGAACTGTTTCCTTGCTTTTTACTGATTGCTGCGCCATCAGCAGCGGTTTCTTTGTAGCAGAAAGCTGTCATAGGTCTTGGTCTTACTTGCAAGAATGTATAACATTTTATTATACACTGAGGGATAATCCCACTGAAAAAGGTTAGCTTGTTTCTATTCAAAACTTACTCATCTTAATTTGATATATATCTCTAGGTCTCAGTTTTTTGAAAAAAGAGTTAGAAAACATTACTGAGTTTCTCTAGTAGGCCGTTGTTTGGTCAGTTTTTTAACCGTTAGATCTGATCAAAATCACATCAAATTAAGAAAATATGCAAAACAGACAGTTTTTAATACAAATCTGGCGGCTGAATCATAAAAAACTTCCGGTAATTTATTTTTTGTCCTATCAGAGAACTCTGTACATTTTAACTAATCAAAAGTTTCGGTGAGTGTATATATATATAGGTATATTAATTGAAATTTGACACATCAGAGTGGAGTTTAAACACTATGGACTAGTATAAGTGCTCAATCGATCATGCACTTTCACAAATTTGCTACTCTGCTCATTTCGTACCGTTATGATCATTAGAGAAGGTTTAAAATAAGATACTGTAAAGCAAAAATTAATATGGAGAGAAATTCTATATTGTCATCTTATATACTTTTTTGGGAAAGAGAATCAAATGCTAGTTCTAAAAGATTCTCTTTTTCTTTTGATCTACAATAGAGTAAGATCTCCTTCCAATTGACAAAGTGAAATTACATGAACTCGTACGTTTCCAAGACAAATTAAAGACTGATTAATAATTTTATTTCAAGTAACGTTGTCTATTTTATATGTATACATAAAAGTGAGACAGTTGACTACAAGAACAATTCAACTACAATATTGCTGAGATTTTGGACCCAATACTAGTTTATTTTTAATCACATTGTAAAGTCAGAAAAAGCATCGAATTACAACAAAATCAGTATATTAGATCATATATATTTAGCCAATTAGGTAAGGAATATCTTTGTACAGCTTTATAAGAAAATCACCAACCCCAACGGGTTAAAGGGGTCATGGCGCATGTGAAATGTTCATCTTCTTCACACTACTATACAAAGCATACACAAGAACCTCCTTCAAATTATAAAAAAAAAAAAAAAAAAAAAAAAAAAAAAAGATTGTCAAAAGCCAAAGCTTCAAACTTCTACTCAGAATTAGAAGATGTCGCTTTTGGCTCTTAAAACTAAAGTCACCTTTCCTCTCCCTTATTCTTTTCCCCCTTCCTCACCCCTTCTTCTAAAGTAATATCATCATATATATTAAATAACTTTTTTTTTTTTTCACTTCACAATTATTGAACCAATTACACCGGCAAAAATAACCTCTTAATTATTTGCCTCTTATTGGTGTATATCCTAAAAAGGTACAACCCTTCTCTTCATTATCATACCTAGAAAGCTTCATTTTCTTTATTGTTATCTTGTTTCATTTTCATGAAACGAAAGAACCAGCAAAATGGTGAACCATTTCAGGTGTAGCACTTTCTTCATTTTGGCCTCCATTCTCAAAGGATAAGAAAGAGCTAGAATTGTTGCAATACTCAACAAGTGAGTGGTCGTTCCCATTTTGTGATCCCTTTATCATCAAATCTTTCATGACTGAGCCACATTGCCTAGGCTGCGTTTGGTAGAACACCTTGGACACCACTAATTCCCCTTCTTTTTCCTCTTCGTTGTTTCCCAAGTGGTATTGGTGCATTACCCAATTGGTCTTCTCGGGCTTTCTTTGTTTCCCATAGTTTGTGTAGAGAACAAGTATCTTTTTGTACCCTTTCACCCTTCCTCCAACAAATACGGGTCGGGTCTTGCCCGTCTTGTGCCACCGAGTCTCACCACCGTCTTCATCGGTGTGGACCTTTCGTCGTTTACGAGTCCCGGTTGTGTAGGCCTTGGAGGGTCGATGGAAGAAGTGGCGAACTAGGCCATCTTTGCTGACTCCTAGCATTAATATGCCAATTAAAGAAAATGATTTACATCAGCAGACATTAATGCATAGGATATATATTCCTTAATCTCTTATTAATTTGATGGAAATCTTTTCTTGACTTTAGGGTTTCTATGGAGAAAACACCAAACCCAAAGTTAGTTAGAGTGTCCATTTAATTAGCGATGAGATGAATTAAGTACTACACAATCAAATCAGTCATACCTAATTATGTTCAAAATTATTTCTAGTTTTTTATGCAAGTATATGATTTAATATAAAAATCAAATATATGAAACCCAGAAACAGCTAAAGGTACGTAGTACTTGATCTTAAAATATCATTCCATTATAAATTTTTGTAGGCAAATTTCCAAAGCAGATCTTAAAATAATTCCAAAAGTAACAACAATAGAAGTGTGCCACCCTAATTAAGATGTTTTAACATCCTTAATATACATATTAGTTATTCTCTCTCGTAATTTACATAAAATAAAAGTGCGGCGACAAAATAAGATTTGTCATTTTGTAATCATGCATACAGACATATCATGTTAACACAATTAATTAATTGATGATGAGCATGCACCTGGCAGTTTCTGTGGATGAGTGTAGCAAATTCCATTCTCTCCTTCTATAGTAGGGATGAACTCATCTATGAGAGGGTGAACTTTGCATGTCTCAGACCTCGTGACCTTCCCTTCCAAATGATCAAGAAGCTCTTGATCTGTCGGATCAAACTTCACCCCAGCTGGTAGCCCCGGCAAATGGTGAATTCCAGCCTAATAGATTAACATACATATAACATACAAAATAATTAATGAGCTATATAATAATCTATTGACTAAGCTATTATAAGATCAATATATAATATAGCCACATACATTGCAATTATATATTATACGTACACCAAGAGAAATCCATGAAAATAGTATAATGTATGTAAAATATGTAACGAAAAAAAAAACCTGGTCTTGGCATTTGATCTGATGACCACACGAAGGACAAGTTCTGGTAATTGGGTTATGATGATCTTTGTGTTCTTGAGCGTTATTAATGATTGTTTGGTCGAGAAGTACTCCACGGTCGTCAATATTGCACCTAGTCATATTTTCTTTACACTCATGCCCATTCCACAGTGGATCTTTCTTTCTGCTGTTTCCTCAAAATGTACGCTATAGTACTAGTACTTTAGTTAACTCCAAAAGAAACAATTCTAAGAAGACCAGAGAGAGAGAGAGAGAGAGAGAGAGAGAGAGAAGCATTTGATAGAAGGACAAAAAAGATGAGAAAAGACAACAAGGAAGCTAGCTGCCTCTTCTGAATAAGCTCAATTATATTCCTTTCCAGCCCAATAATTCTGACATGGGAAGTGGCGAAGAAGGGAATTAAATTCTTCTCTCTTAACTCTTTTTTTTTAAGTCTTTTGCATGCATGACTGAATATTCTTGATTCTGATCATGAGTTTCCTCAATATTTTCTCTCTGATCAAACCAAGAAGAGAGAGAGAGAGAGAGAGGG